CTCATCCGTCTTCTTCACAAAAAGGACCGGGGCTCCCCAAGGTGAAGTACTCAAACGTATAAACCCAATGGCCAACAAATGATCCAACTGCTTCCTTAGCTCCTTTAACTCCAAAGGTGNACTGTAGTGTCTCATCCGTCTTCTTCACAAAAAGGACCGGGGCTCCCCAAGGTGAAGTACTCAAACGTATAAATCTAATGGCCAACAAATGATCCAACTGCTTCCTTAGCTCCTTTAACTCCAAAGGTGTCATTCGATGGGGAGCAATAGATATGGGTTCGGTTCTCAGATAGAGATCAATCCTGAACTCAATCTCTTTATGTGGAGGTAACCCGGGTAGTTCATCTGGGAAGACATCCGGAAAGTCCGACACTATCAACACCACATCTGCATGGATTTTATCTAGATTATCTCCCATCAGGCTAGCTAAGAAACTCAATTGGCTCTCCGCCTTAGCTCTCAAGAATCTACTACCCGTAGTAGAAAATGGATGGAAAGAATTTCGGTCATTCACAAAACTGAAAACTACTCCTCCCGGCAACTGAAATGTAATCCGCTTGCAGAAACAATCTATTATTGCCCAGAAAGCGGACAACAAGTTCATCTCGAATATAACATCATAACCCTTCATATCTAAAGCAACTAAATCCACAATCAATTCATGCTCTCCAATACGAAGCACGCAACCCTTGCAGACCCGGCTGGTACCTAATTGTTCTCCCGTAGGCAAGTCAACATGTAAAGCATGTTCTAGTTTCTTGAAACCCAATCCCAGATTAATAGCATACGAGGTACAGATAAAAGAATGAGTCGCACCAGGATCAAATAAGATTCAGGCCCAAGAATTGTATAAAAGAACGATACCTTCCACCACGACATTGGAGGCATATTCCTCCGGTTAGGTCAGGGCAAATACTCTCCCCTGAGTGGCGCCACCTAGGGCTAGAGCTCCCAACGGCCTCTGCTGCTGTAGTGGTTTGTTTGCAGCCACTTGTCCTATCGCTTGATTGGCCCTCGGTGGGAGCGATGGGCAGTTGTGTCTGAAGTGCCCTACCCCTCCACATGCGAAGCACTGACGGGGGTCTGTGGCTATCCTCCCCGATATACCTCATGTTCCTCGAGCTATCGGCGGTCTCTGTCCCCCTGCCTGGTCTAGGTGACGGTAAGGTGCCACTCTCTGGGCTCCACTACTACTAGCACCCGTCCGAATCGGACCTGCCCTCATAAGGCTCTGTCGCCGCTGAGTATCATCTATGTCTCTCTCCACCAACGTAGCCCTCTCCACCAGATCCCCATAGTCACAGATCCTGAGAGCCACCAGCTTCTCTCTGATAGGAGGCCTCAAGCCCTGCTCGAAACGTTTGGCCCTCCTGGCCTCTATAGAAATGAACTCCACGGCATATCGGGATAGCTTATCAAACCTCCTCTCATACTCCATCACAGTCAAGCTACCCTGTCGAAGAGCTAGAAAATCGGTGCTCATCTTGTCCCGGACGGATTCCAGAAAATACTTATCTTGGAAGATCTGTTCGAACTCCTCCCAAGTAAGAGCATCCGTGGTCCTCCTCCTCTTCACCGATTCCTTCCAATGGTCCATCTCCCCCTCTAGTAGATAGATAGCCAAGCTGACCTGAAGATCATCAGCCACTCCCATACCATCACATATCTTCTTGACCCGACAGATCCATTTATCCGCATCCAAGGGGTTAGAGCTCCCTTGGAAAGTAGGTGGGTGTTGATGTAGAAATTCTCTAAGAACCACAATCTGCCAATTCTCGTTCCCGTAGCTCGATACTTGGGCTAATGGATGAGCTCCTCCATTATGGTTGTTGTTTCTATTCTGATTTTGTACCAAAGTGGTGAGCTCCCTTAAACAATGATATATGCCACTTATGGCATCGGGAGGTGGTGGATTTGCTTGTCCTCCCCGACCACGACCACGCCTCCACGTCCACGTACACGTTCACCGTCCATCCTGCACAACAATTCACAATTTAATTTCATTGATGCACAAGACATCCTAAATATCACTTTAATCTAAAGCATAAGGTTCATATAAAATTAGACCAACAATTTCCTTCAACCTAATTCTACTTCCCTAGTGGTAATCCATAACCTACAGCTCCCATGTAAGACCTAAAGTCTAGGCTCTGATATCATTCTGTAACACCCCAAAATTCACCCTGGAAGGCATTACTACCTATAACCATTCATATCATGAGAGCAACTAATAAATCCATAAATAACCGGGGGTCCTTAATTTAACAAAATTCGGGTAGAGTCTCCTTTGTTTGAGGAGCTCTACCCAAAACACAACATGTGCAATTATACAACTTTGACCACACTCTGTCCATTTATCCATAAAATATTTTCAATATTATCCAAAAGAATATGTCAAACCATGACATTTACATCTCAAAAATTAACTAATATAACGCAACAGGATTAACAAAATAAACTAGACTTTACAGTGTACAAAAGAGTATCCTAGTCTAGTACAAGAGAAAAGGGGTCGCTCTATGCATCCACCTCGGGATCCACACTCCCGTCAATTAGAGCCTCCCACTAGGCGGCCTCCTTGGCTCCTAACTCCTCCTCAAGTACATAATCTAAAAAATGTTAGCAGTAAGGGGTGAACAAGAAGCTCTATAGAAAATTTCTCCCAAATCCAAAAAAGGTTTAGAAAATATTTAAAATTTGGTCAGTCTCCTTTTTTTTTTTTTACAAAATATCATATATAACTTTTGAAAGAAAACATGGCATTTTAAATAGATCTCAAGTTTAAGGAATAACAGTAATTAAAGAATAAATGAACACAATATACAATTAAATAATCATTCCACTATAAATGATTTCTCACAAGTTCTTGCGAAATCTCATACTTCCGAAAAATCTTGTAGAAATCATTTCTAGTGCAATGAACAATTCCCAATACTATAACAATCCCGTGTATTCTGGTGCATCCTCGAGGCCATGTAGATTGATCGTTTCTCCTGAATCTACCCAACGATTATACCTAGTCCACCCATAATAATCACAAGCACATTTGGAAAGGGGCGTATACCATACCAATGGCATTGCCGAATCCCTCCCTAGGAAAGGTATACCATCCCTAGTTTGAACTCTAGACGTACGATAGCGGTTGTGTTGCCAAACACCAATCCACTACAAGTGTAAGAAACCATCTCCCCCCACCACAGGGTTCGACTGACATTTACACTCTACGGCATATCTCGTAAGTAATTCAAGTCCATCACAAACAACTATACACAAGAGGAAACCAAGAATATCTCCATTCGCAACCATCTCAAAGGAATTACCAAATTCCACCATTTCTCAAGTAATCCATCATAGCATAATTTAAGAAAAATGAACAAGAGATCATTTTAAACCTCATTTGGTTATACAAGGTAAAGCACTAAAGTTTGGTAATCAAGACAAAAAGAATTTAAGAGGAAAAATCAATTTTTCTTCAAAACTCGGGTTTGATTATGAAAAAGAATGGTTCAATGGTTACACAACAATCAAAATGTTCGAAACATGCTATTTATTGCAAAAATGTCAAGAATCATGTAGTACATAGCATATATATATGTGAAGACAAGTGAAAGACATACATATATATATACAACCCTAGCCTCAATGTATGAGAAATGAGAGAAAAACCCCCACCTTGAATCAAGATCTCCAAGCAAAGTCCAACCTCTAGAGACCTTGCTCTTCCCTTTTCTTTCTCCCTTAATCTTCCTTTAGGGCTCTAAGAGGTGTGGAATGAAAGGGGGAGTGAAAGAAATGAGAGAAAAGGGGCTGAATATAGGGTTTTAGATATAGCAGCCCCGAATTTTATTGTTCATGGCTGTTTGGGTCTTCTCCAAAAATTAAAGTTTTGCCATTAAAAGCTCTAATTTGATCCATATGACTACCCTAAGGTTTTTCGGCGTTCCAGATTTATTTTCAATGTTATTTTAACCTAAAAAAATTTATTTTTATGATTTATTTCAAAACTAAAATAAATTCACACTCGAAACATTAAAATTTCTATTTAATTCCTCCGAACCGCTATAGGTTCTATTTTTACGGTTTCAATATATATATAGTTTATTCTTAAGTCATTACATATATATAAGAATCACTAAACAAGTACATTAATATATTAATATAAATATATGGGGGTTTACACCTTCAAGGTCTAACAAGAAAGCACAACACTTTACTATTCAAGGAACACCATAATGCAGATTTTTGGTCAACTTCAAAGAATAAACTGATTTGACTCAAGTATTTCTAGTATGTGTGACCTATATGGTTGGAAAGATATACGAGTTAGGGTTCTAACAAAAATAACGGTGTGCAATTTGGACTTTTCAACCAAGAGTTATGATCAAATTAGTGAAAGGTAGTCTGCCGGATTGCTTGGTTCTTCTATACTTGTCTAACTCGAATTTGAGTGTCTTTTATCACAAATCCTATCTCGTACCCATCTCCAATATATGTAGGATGAATTTCATAAAGATCCATGTCTAGCATCATTCATTAACCAAAACCAAATTACCCTCCGTCTCCTAAAATTATCCATGACAACATGATGTAGAACTAGTATATTTAGAAAAATCTTTCTTCAATTCCTCTAAGCTAGCTCATTGATGAGAATGCAAATGTCATATTTTTCTCTTTCATTGTTTAGCCCTTTATACTTATTATTCTTATAGTTTGATTTAGGAAGTAATTAAAGACGTTAAAAGTAGAACGAAGCTAATAAGATGATTGTTGATAGTATAGACATGTGGGGATTTACACATGCTCTTTTGTTTTTTTTTGAAAAAATAGAATTTCTCAAATTTATTTCATTACGTTAAAAAGGTATTTTGCAAAAAAATTACCAAACGAGGGCTTAGCTACTAACCATTAAACTAAATTAACAGTACATAGAAAGTTGATAGAGGACAAAATTAGAAGTTACGGAATTAGAGTGAGAAAGCGTTCTAAGAATAAGTGTTATTGACGCTTCAAGAATCCAATAGATCTTTCAAAAACCAAAACCTTTTACATTCAAACCAGCACAAGCTACTGTTTGCTTATTATTATACATCAGTCTTTTGCAACCAATATATCACCATACTCTCGGTGTAAAAAATAAAAATAAGAGCAAAACCACAAAGCCCCCACAGTGGAAACGAAAGGTTAACAAATGGAAGATATAAAAAGAAAATATATCACACAAATCGATTAAATGGCTTCCTCCCGACTGCAGCAGGCATAGAAATGGCTGAATCCACACTAAAATCCCCAATTGAACGCAGAGACTCGTGTTTTTCAAACATCCTCAGAGAAGTAGAATCCTTGGTAGATCCCTTTTTCCACCTAAAAGACCCCATTTTTGGAGTCAGAGGGAATGAAAACCTCATCTTTGAAGCATTGTTTGGAGTTCCAGGAAACCTCTCCTTAGGACTGCCAGTTTCTCTCGCCTTGGCTTTAGCCGAAACCGTCTGTGCCATGTAGTTTGGAACTGAAAAAGGCGGGCAGCTTGTGAGGCTGTCAATGTCATCATCCTTCAATGGTAGATTAAAAGCTGAGTCAGCTGCAATGGCTCTTGTTTTTGCATATTTCATTGGATTTGAGCTGCTTGATTGTGGTGTTCTACTTGAAGTGTGGACTTCTCTTGTCCTCAAAAGCAGTGTGGACCTTGATGATCTTGGTGTGAGTGTGTCATGATTGTCAAATCCGAAACTATGCTGCTTGCAGTTGCTGGTTGGAGGTCGTGGGCTCTGTTTGTGATTGGAAGTTGGCCTTGGAGGTGTTAGTTGAATGTTCTTCGTGGCGGTTTGGCTTTCAGAAGGATTTGCTGGAGCTAGTTGACGCTCTAACCAGTTCCACCACCAGGGAAGTCCACCATATCGGAGGTCCATTACAGGTATTTGAACTGATGTAGGATTGGCTTTCCACAACTGATAACAGAGGTTTAAAATAAAAAAGAAACAAAATTTGTTAAGACTCTTTGATTTACATGTGCGCACCCATGTGGATATAATGTCAGCCATGGTTTTAAGGGCTCATAGAGTCGAGAGACACTAAGACACATCAATCTAAGCAGAACGGAATGGGCGACATGCACCAAATGCTACATGGAAGAAGAAGATGAACATCTATATGGCGGGATCGTGAAATGCTTTGGCCGATTGGATGACTATGACTTGGATTATTTGAGTTGACCGGGAGATGATGATTCTTTGCATCAGACTCAATGCTTACATTTCATAGGATGAACTCACAAAAATAGCAACATGGAACACGAAATAATATCAAAAAAGTGCTGAAACGGATCCGATTTGGCCAAGTGGTATCAATATTGGCCAATACTTTGACCCATGATGTTAGTGATGAGATTGAAATCATTTAAACATCAAGTGCGTTTGCTAGGGTGGTTGGATCCTTTCGGGACCTACTACATGATGCAATCAGATAACGCCTGGGCCAGAATAAAGTATAATATAATACCTGGTGGGAATATGCATAGGCCATGGCTCTTTCCCTCTTGAGGACTGCCTCTACTTTTCTCTGCAGCCTTGCCTCTATTTCCTCTTTTGTTAGCAAGCTATCATCCCATTCTTCATTGTAACCTGCCTCAGACTAAACCATATGTGTTCACTCATCAATATAAATAAGCCTGATGGATACTAAAAGAGCAAACTTTAAAAGCAAACCAAAGTTTCCGAAAAGCTATAAATTTCTTTCACTTCGGACAATCAATCAATCCTGCAGAATTTTGCATAACTCATCTATGCTAAGTCTTGGTAATTCTGTTGTTTCTACCTGTTCTTTGGGAGATCAGTATCAAAAATATAAAAGAAAGAACCATGTTCATAAAAAAGCAGTTGTACAATCATCATCAGCTAGATACCAACTGGTGACACAAATTCATCCATAACACGTTAGCCTAGAGTGCCAAGGCAAAACAAGTCCAAAATGTAGAACCAGGCAGGACATCAGAAACTACGGAAGTTATGTAACTACAATGTCTGAAGTCTGTAATATTGAAGTGTTGACCTATTGATCAAAACCCCCGATGATGGTCCAATTATGGGCCAATAAAAATTGCAAGTTTTATGGATCTATGTTAAACCACCGATGTAGGTATGAATGAAGTCACCATTCAAACACATGAAAACTTACTATTTGGCCCAATGTCCATTTGCTCAGGGTACTTTCCACTTCCTTATTATTCTTGTAAGCTTGGTGATGGAGAGCCTGATTCTCTAACATTTGGATCCTTCGTGACTGTATTTGAGTTTGAACTCTTACTAACAGCTGCAGTTGTTTCACGGCATTTATTGTTTGTCGCTTCACATTCTGGCCTCTGAGCACTCCTTGAAGCCTCACTAGACCCCTCAAAGCTCTAAAACTCCTCCTTGCCTGTAGAATAAGATCAGTTATTTCAATTTGATGACCGTCCAATAGAAAGGCCAATGATGATTCAATACCTTTCCGGCTGGAAGGAAGGGTGGAATGGAATGCACAGTTTAAGCTAACATAACCTTAGAATTAGGCGCTACAAATCTGGTAATCTAAATCATTCTGCATTTTTTCCAGTTATGGTAGTTATGGCCCATTTTTTCAATGGGTTTACAGTAGATAATCAGGCCCATGCCAATCAAACCAAANACCATATGTGTTCACTCATCAATATAAATAAGCCTGATGGATACTAAAAGAGCAAACTTTAAAAGCAAACCAAAGTTTCCGAAAAGCTATAAATTTCTTTCACTTCGGACAATCAATCAATCCTGCAGAATTTTGCATAACTCATCTATGCTAAGTCTTGGTAATTCTGTTGTTTCTACCTGTTCTTTGGGAGATCAGTATCAAAAATATAAAAGAAAGAACCATGTTCATAAAAAAGCAGTTGTACAATCATCATCAGCTAGATACCAACTGGTGACACAAATTCATCCATAACACGTTAGCCTAGAGTGCCAAGGCAAAACAAGTCCAAAATGTAGAACCAGGCAGGACATCAGAAACTACGGAAGTTATGTAACTACAATGTCTGAAGTCTGTAATATTGAAGTGTTGACCTATTGATCAAAACCCCCGATGATGGTCCAATTATGGGCCAATAAAAATTGCAAGTTTTATGGATCTATGTTAAACCACCGATGTAGGTATGAATGAAGTCACCATTCAAACACATGAAAACTTACTATTTGGCCCAATGTCCATTTGCTCAGGGTACTTTCCACTTCCTTATTATTCTTGTAAGCTTGGTGATGGAGAGCCTGATTCTCTAACATTTGGATCCTTCGTGACTGTATTTGAGTTTGAACTCTTACTAACAGCTGCAGTTGTTTCACGGCATTTATTGTTTGTCGCTTCACATTCTGGCCTCTGAGCACTCCTTGAAGCCTCACTAGACCCCTCAAAGCTCTAAAACTCCTCCTTGCCTGTAGAATAAGATCAGTTATTTCAATTTGATGACCGTCCAATAGAAAGGCCAATGATGATTCAATACCTTTCCGGCTGGAAGGAAGGGTGGAATGGAATGCACAGTTTAAGCTAACATAACCTTAGAATTAGGCGCTACAAATCTGGTAATCTAAATCATTCTGCATTTTTTCCAGTTATGGTAGTTATGGCCCATTTTTTCAATGGGTTTACAGTAGATAATCAGGCCCATGCCAATCAAACCAAAATATGCCTGAATTTTTTCATATCCAAGTGGTCTCAAGCTGGGTTTGCCCCTGCCGAAGCACAAGAAACTTTTGTTTTCCTTTTTTGTGGAACGAAGCACATGAACCAGGACATGCCAAAAATGGGTTATGTTAGGCTTATAAATGGTAAACAATATTAAAAACAACAAAATTCCACATAGCTTATCCTAATTCAGTCATTTTCCTTGAAGTTTTTACCCATTGGGAGAATTTTTTGAAGGAAAACATTTAGGAGATGGGTGGAGAGCTTCCCGCTCTAAACTTTCACTCTTCAAATTTTTTCTCCTGATTTTTCCTTCTCTTCTTGTGAATTTCACTTCAGAGGAATCTTTAACTGAAAGGCGAATAGAACCTACCAAATCAATAGTTCGTCTAATGATTTTAGTCCTTTTTTATCAAGGTGCATGTGATTAGGTCACGAGTAATTCTCTAGGTTTTATATATATTCAAAAGAATGGATGGTGGGCAATCCGTGACTAGAAGGCAAGCAACCATTGAGGCATAATTGATAGTTCAGAATGTCATTATTTTATCTTTACGTACTAGGGTATCCCCTTGCTTGTAGAAATTTTCTTTCGATCAATGAATTTTACATATACCAATATAAAATATGTGGCTGTGCTGTGGGAATTCTATATGGATCTTGATACACATTTTTGTTCAGAAAACACACAACATTATGCCCCTCTTGGATTTTAACATTGTGCTAGGTCCCTTTGGTTTATCAACAATCTATTTTAAAATTGATGCCCCTCACAGTGTTAAGAAAAATTGAATTTATACAATTTTTAAGAAACATGAATTTTCATGCCTCACTTACCATGAAATGATTTTTCAAGAAGTCATCCAATGGTATAGATAGTCGGAACCTTACCATGTAACCCCTATAAGCAGCCTGGATCTTGGTGGCTGAAAGATGATGATTTCTTAGAGTTGGTTCTGGTCTGTAGGCATAGCTGATTTCTTTACTTTGATGATCTACCCTAGGTGAAGCAGCACTAGGGGAATCAACCCTTTGTGAAGCAGCCCTAGGGGAAGCAACCCTTTGCGAAGCAGCCCTAGGGGAACCAACCCTCAGAGAGGCAACCCTTGGAGAGGATGGCCTTGGAGGCAATAATGGTGGTGGATTTGGTTGTTCGGAAGGTGTCGAGGGCCTAATAAGTATCTTCTGTTGCTCTGCTTCTCCCAATATTTTCTCAATACTGCTCGGCTCTCTGAAGAGGGGAATAAATGGTTTGGTTTCTCCATGCCTTGATACTCCTCGCCCCTTCTTTTCTTTAGCACTTTTCTTCACTGATCCCTACATCAGCAAAGGTTATGTGAGCAAAGAACGGCTAGCCCCTATTTTGAGAGAACACTCCGACATCTGGAGGAAATCATCTGTTTTTGAAGTTACTGACAAGGAACTCCATTCTGTTGACTGTATCAGACAGAATAAAAACCGTCTTTTATCATATTCAAATGAAGAGTCTGACCTTGGCTCAAAAGAAATGCTAGCAAACATACACTTGAATAAATCTTAAGTTCTCTAGCAATCTTTGTCATTTTGTTCTTCAAAAACCAAATTGTACAAAACATAATGGCTATCTATAAAAAGCAGAGTTGTATAAGAATGAGTCCAATTTAACTTCTGGGCATGTTGGTATGATAAAATCGAAAGCGCTAAATCAGCCAAGATCACAATCAAAATTATTTTTTCAGTCGATATTTCTGAAATTCATTTTGGTCTCGTTTAAAATAACATCTATTTGAATTCTTATGCCTGAACTATTCAGGGTCAATACTTTTGACAGGCTATTATGTATTTCCCTAGTCACCGACCATTGAATCTCATTACTACATTAAGCAAGATGTCCACTTACATCAACAGGCTTTTCTTTGGAGCTGTGTATAAAAACCCTCTTGATGGCTGAAAACCAACTTCCTCTCTTTCCCATGTTCCTAACATTACTGTTGCACCCTGGAAAAAACAAAAGGAAATATAAAATTTAGTATTTGCAAGCTCAGAATTTGTATAGCGTAGAATACCATAAATCACTATTGTATGAAGATGACATCTTCCTCTCAATGATGTGAATATACAAACAATTCTAGCATGAATTCAGAATGGAAGAATGCTACAGCATATATGATCCATAGAGCACATTTCTTGTTAGTATGCTAAAAAAATCTGTAAGTTATACAATTTTTCCCTATTCCCCACCACCTCAGAGCCACATTTAGACCTAGGCCATGGTCCTCCTGAGTTTCGAAAAATTGTCTATTGACCCTTCAAATCATATTGTCGTCTTAGAAGATCGCTGAGTCTGCCTCCTAAAACATTGAAATTTAGACATTGACCCTTACATGGTATGTAGCAGTTTCCCCAATTCTGATTTTTTCTAGCTCCGCTCCTGCATGTCGCAGCTATGAGTTTTAGGCTGTTAAAGGTTGTGTACAGATTAAGGCGATGGATTTTTAGAATTGAACAGGTAGCAAATTAGGATGCAATCGAGTTTACTCAAAATTTCTCCTTCAAATAAATGAGAACACGTTACCGGAAAAAGTGTTTAATTTGAAATTGGAGCATGATCGATAACCAACAAAGACAATGACGAAGTTTTTACTCAATCCAGGGTTATTCACAGTAGAGAATGTTCGAAACCAAAGAAAAAAACAGATGTAGAAAGAGAAGCAGGGTTAAGAATCTCACTACCAAAAAGAGACAGACAGTTGAACTCTCAAATTTGGTATCAAAATTTAAAGGGAAACATGTAAATTTTTACGGCTACATGATCAATCGAACCCAAATGAGAAAGAAATTATATATGAAACTTGGAGGAAAATAGAGACAATCTTCTTTCACACACCTGCAAAACTTCTTCTGTCCCAGAAACAAACAGGATGATTTGTCTATAATTGTGCACCAAGAATACTTTAAAAGTCTGAAAACCTTTACTAGCGGAAGAGATCAGACAACCACAGGAGAGAGAGAGAAGAATAAACCAAATAAAAAAATTACTACAAAGAAAAAAGAATTCTACGCCTGCCTATCCAATTGTAGAAAAAAGGAAATCTTTCCATATTTTGCAGGCATTTTTCTTCATGCAACATAATTTTCACATACCCAGCGGATTATACATTTGCAATCTACATAACTAAGAAAGATTTATACCTTAAAAATCTCTTTCTAGCCCTCCAAAATCTTTCAGAAAAGCTGCATCCACCAGCCAAGCAAGACGAGAGGAACGAGAGAGAACGAGTCTCCCTTCTTTCTCTACACTCTTCCTTTTCTCTCTCTTCAACCTCCCTTTCCCTTCCTTTACCGCAACATGCTTCTTTCCTTCATAGCTTTTCTGTTCAATATTGGCGTCCAGTCTCTCTCTTTCTCTCTCAAGAACCATGAGTCTGGTTCATGGTAGCCAGGATATACTTTTCTTCTTTCCTTTCACCTTTTCTATTTTTATAATTTTCTTTCAGAATGATCATTGATGATGATACTTCAGACAGACAGAGGGGGCTTGTGGGATGGCCACCTTCTTACTCAATTGCTTTGGCTACCTTTAGCGAACTTTCCTTCAATGGGAAGACTGTTTAGGACAGCAATCCACTAGTTATTAGACAACTGTTAGCTTGCCTTGCCGTGCTAGTAATATAACGTCCCAAATTGGTGCATGTCTTTTTTAGACCACTGTTAATAAGAAGTCTTAACTTGATATCAAAGATGGCTTGAGCAATTTTTGGTAGTACTTTCTTTTCAGTGTCATTGATTTAGCATTTAGTTCCATCATGACGCAACCGAGACACAAAAAACACCATTTTTTCATGTATCAAACACACAAATTCTGAAATTCTTAAGACTAGTTTAGTAGTTAAACTTGATCTTTAGTAATTAAGAGGTCTCAAGTTTAATCCATTTTCATAACTCATAAAGGATAGTCATCATTGTCCCTTTAGAGACATGTTTTAATCTAACTCAAGTCACGGTGACCAACAACTAAACTTAAGGAAATAGTCGACACAAACTTATACACACAAAAAAATTCACACACACAAGTTCTGAATTCAAAAGATGAATACAGGAAGAACTCTTAAAAATTGGTATTATTCAATATACGTTTCGAAGTATAGATATAGAATATTTATAGGAACAATCAAAAGTCACCAAATAAAGAAAAAATCTTTAGTTGTAATAAATTTATTAGAAGTAGAAAATTGTAATCTAACTAAATAAGATAGAAGTATGTATTTTCTGGAGTCTAAAAAACTATCAGTATTGAAATTAAAATCTCTTACTATTTATATTAATTTTTTATATCTTTTCTAAAATAGCAAAACATTGATTTGAGGGCCTAAATAATGAAATTTAGCCCGGAACTCAAGGAGTCATGGCCTAATTATGAATCTTAATCGTTGGCCACTCAATCATTGGCCATCCAAAGCAAATTGTACTAGACTCGCTTAATTTTGAGTCTGGCCCAATGTGCTTTGAATGCACAACGGTTTTTTTGCTCCAAGTAATCTACTGCAACCTATTTTATATCAATCACTCGTTATTGAAAAGAACTCATCCTCGAGTTAACACATGCAAGTCGATGGCATCTGAATGGAGCTTAAATAAGTCATTTAATTGAAAGTTATAAAGATACACATATCTTCAAAGGAGATAAAAATGTATGCATTGTCATTGACTTTCATCAGAATCTAAAATGGGTCAATCTTATTCCAGTTGAACTTGCAATAAGCCCCAACTAGTAGTGTCTTCTAGTGAAGTGAACTATAACCACGAGCAGTGCTTGTCTGTTACTTCCTTATACTTAGTTGTCAACGCTTTCAATTGTTGCTTCACATCTACATGCACCTTTACCCTCTTCCATAACATATGCTCAGCCACTATGTTCACTCCTAGAAGCTACAAGATCAAGTGTATGTATAGTTGTTTATATGTAAATAATTTGAAATAGGGATCTTCTAGTAGATCTGTTGGGAATACTGTTGTTAGAAAACTCTACTTGGGACAAAGTGTTGTCCCAATGTCTTAAGAAACCCTTGCAAAATCTTAGTCAATTTTTTCTGATTTACTACCTCTATCCATCAATTTGTTGGTTCCCCGAGCTGATGTACATCAATGACGTATCTAGACTCTAACAAAAAAAGCTAAGGAACTTACTGTCACATTAGTGAGTAGCATGAGCAACATCTGAAGTCATTTTGCATGGGACAAAATGGGCAGTTTGGGAAACCTGTCAACCATAACATATATAAAATCCACATATCGGTGAGTCTGTTGAAGACCCAACTGTAAGACCTCGTATTAAAATTAAATAAGGGTAATATTATCTTAAAAGTTCTCTTAAAATGAATAAAAGATGAAAAATTTAGGAACCATGAAGACTTTTCGGTGACTTAATAGTTCAGGTTAATCACTCTTAAGAGGAATTGAGTAATAAAATTCTAAAGGTTTTTAGGTCAAAATAAGGCCACCATTGAATTCGGAAGTTCTAGAAACCTTGAAAGATGTAACATGAGGTGTATTAAAAGTTTGTAAGTATTTCATAGTTGACATGCATATTTGGGAAAATTTTGGATAAAATGAAATTTGACACTACTTTAGTATTTGAACCATAAATTTTACCCCGATTTCCAATTGATCTGAAAGTTTTGCAGTGAAAACTAGACTTCAAGGGTTACAAAAGTGTATTTGACAAAAATTTTGTGAATTAGCTTCTAACTAGGTCAAACTCGAGCCAAAATTTCATGAATTTTTTTCTGATTAACATGTGGTTTTAAATCAAATACATATCTTGGGTTCAAGGAATGTTGTTCTTGGATTTCCAAAACCCTAATTTTTCCTAAAGACCTATTTTATTTTGAAAGACCTATGTATTCTTGATTTATAAATTCCAATTATTAGTTAAATTAGGGTTTTAATTAATTGTTTGTTCTTGTTCCAAGAAATTGTGATTTTTGGCAAAACCCTAGAATTTGGATATCAAAATTGTAAAGGTTTTTTTTGATATGATATCTTGCATATTTTAATTCCATTACTATTGTATATTAAAATTGTGAAACTTGTGCTACATGGATATTGATGGAAATTGTGATTGGTTGAATATACGTTTTGATAAAGTTGTGATTTCTCATCTCCATATGGTTTGGGTTTGACGGGGTTGAATTACCTTTAAGAGCTATTATAAAGTGTTAGAGGATGTTCTATCCCAGTGGGGGTGAGATGGTGCCTAATGATGAGTGTGGAATATTGCATATTATACGTCTTCATTTCATCAAATTCAACTTGTTTTCTAGTGAATTTGTGGGAAAATGGACCTAAATTGATAATTAATGGAGATTTTTTCAAGAGCTAACATAGAGTGTTAGAGGTTATGCTATCCTAGTGGGGGTGAGATGGTGCCTAATGATGAGTGTGGAATTTTGCATATTATACGTCTTCATTTCATCAAATTCAACTTATTTTGTAGTGAATTTGTGGGAAAATGGATCTGAATTGATAATTAATGTAGATTTGTTTGATTTTAGGAAATGGACTAGAAAAGGCATGCATGAAGCACCCCATCAGGTGATCAAGGTGAATGGGGAGGAAGACATCTCATGATGGATAGCTCGAGAGCTCAAGTAGCAAAGAATTCCAAGACAAAGATGAGACTTACTGGTAGAAGACATGCAAGACCTACCGGTAAAAGACCTACAGGTAGAAGACTTAAGAACTATCGGTAGAAGAGCTTACTAGAAAGTAGCTTAAATGCCTCCCTGCAAGACCTTCTAGTAGAACCCTTATGAGCTACCGGTAGCAGACCTTATTGGAAATGAGCTATCGGCAGAATCCCTACGACCTACCTATAAGAGTTGCCTAGAAAGTTCAGACACTCCTCCACACGACTTCACCAACTACGGGGGCCCACATTTTGTCCTCTAAACCATGCCCCGACATTTCTAACACCCCATGATGATCTCCTAACCCCCTACATTCAGATTGCAAGCATGAGGGAGTGGAGAGCTAAGAAAGAGAAATTGAGTGGTTGGAAAAGCATGGGAGGTTCATGCTTTGACTGATTTTGTTTCTTTGAATTGACAACCTCTCTCCAATCACTCCAACTCAGTCACTCATGCTGGAGAGAGAGGAGGGGACAAAAATAGAGAGCTTTTACACACAATTGGAGATAATAATACTTTTAGAGAGAGAAGCTCCTAGATAGAAGATGAAGTTCTAGAGAGAAAAGCTGGGTTTTTCCATTTTCTTGCACCATTTTCATTATAGTGAGCTACATTTAATTTGTAATCTTTCCTTCTTGCATTGTAATTCCTTTTAATCAATTTGTAATCAAGTTTAGCTAGTGTTCTCGTATTTCTTTTTTATATTTGCATATTTTCTCTTCAAGCTTTGCATTTTAAGTATAGATATCATTTCCTTTATAGTCTAAACGTCTCTTTAAATTAATATAAGTTCATGTTTGATTTAATTACCATGTTTTTTCTGTTTCATGTTTGTTCTTTCCTTTATTTTGAGTAGCTAAACTTTTAGTTGGCTAATCCAAGAGGGATTTTCTCTTGGGTATGTGGAATCGACTCTCTTTCATTCTTCCTCGTAGTGTAAAGTGTTTGGTTTGACTAGGTTGAGTGCGGACGTAGTTGTGGGGTTTTGATACACTGTGAACTTGTCACAATGTATAATTTTTCCCAATACAACTACATTAATCCCTCACATCTTGCAAATCAATCAAACATCGAGATACCATTAGTTGAATGACAAGAGTCGATTTGACATACCCATTGGAATGAACTCTATGGATTAGCCAATCCTCCTTTTACTTGCATATTTCTCAAAACACAACCAAAACACAAATCACAAGATTTTTCAATTTTTATTTCTTTATAAATCACTCTTTAAAAACACCCGACCTCACCTTCCCTAAGGTGACGACCTTGGAATACTCATTCCAAGTAAAACACGACATTACAAATCTCTCTACTCTTGGGGAGCACTTTTGCACTCACACATGTTTTTGTTCATCCACACTATTTTTCCCACTTCTCGCATTGAACTCAAGGGAGAGTGACACTCACTAACCTCAATAAGCCATAAATACATATAAGTCGGGGTCGAGTTGGAATCTATAATTTTCTTTCCACAGGACAAATACCCCCACATTAGAGCCCGGAAGATAAAGAGAAGATTCATGGTGGACATAAAGTACTTCTATTTTGACAACCCATACCTGTTCAAATATTGCCTTGATCAAATCATGAGATGTGTATTATAAATGAACAGCAGGATGTTCTCTTTTTTTGTCATTCAGAAACATGTGGTAAGCACTTCTCTTCCAAGAAAACTTCAGCTAAGATTTTACAAAGTGGTTTTTATTGGCTTACATTAATTAAAGATTGTGTCTCATTTTGTAAGCAATATGATAGGTGTCAAAGGTTGGAAAGTGTGACCCGTAGAAACATGATACCCCTATCCCCCGTGCTTTTTACTAAAATTTTTGATTGTTGGGGCATCAATTTAATGGGTTCATTACCTATGTCTTTTGGCTACCTCTATATCT